TTTTTTTTTTAATTATTTTTGTGTGCGTGTACCGTCAAATCAGATCTGACTGGTACAGGAGGAGATTGTCCCTCCTTCCCCGGCAGAGCATCTGGTAGATTCGAACCGTTCGCTTCTGGGATTGTAGTTGCAGCTCCTTGCCACTAGGCCACCAGAGCTCCCCTAATTCCCAATTTTTAATGAAGTTAATTCCTCTAATTTTTCCCTTGAACTCACACATGTATTAGATTATTATATAATTAGGTTATAGCATATACACTTATCTTTTCAAGTACTTTTCCATCTTCTAATTTTTCAGTATTTTCTACATTAATATTAGTGATAATGAAGTTCCTGAGTATAGGTATAGAATTACTTAGGGTTGTTGGGTTTTTCCCCCTATTTTATGGCTACTGATAAATGGTCTTTAAGAGAAATGTTATATACATTTTCTGATCATTTTTAAGCAAAAATTCTTAAAATTTTATAGCTATTTAAAGGTAAATCCCCAATAGAAATTTTTCATGTGTGGAGAGATTTTTGTTTTATACACTGTGACTAACTGTTAGAAGAATGGGAATCCCAGAACACTTGATCATGCTAATGCAAAACCTGTATTTGGACTAGGAGGCAGTTGTTAGAACAGAGCAAGGAAATATGGAATGGTTTGAAATTGAGAAGGATGTGTGCCAGGGATGTGTCCTATCTCCATACCTTTTCAGTCTATATTCAGAACAGATTATCCAGGAGGCTGGGCTCCATAAAGAGAAATGTGGCATCAGTACTGGAGGAAGATTCATCAACAGTCTGCATTATCCAGGTGAACACAACCCTGCTTGCTGAAACTGAGGAGGATCTGAAGCACTTGATGCAGAAAGTCAAGGACTGCAGCCTTCGATTGAAGCTCAATATCAAGAAAACAAAGATTCTCACCACTGGGCTAATTGGCAGCATCATGATAGATGGTGACGAGATTGAAACTGTTAACAGCTTTAGTTTGCTTGGCTCCACAAACAACACTCTTGGCAACAGCAGCCAGGAAATTAAAAGATGTATTGTGATGGGAAAGTCTGCTGTTAGAGACCTCTCCAAAGTACTGAGAGCAACGGTTCACTCTGTGTGCCTGCTACAGACCATGGTCTTTGCAATCACTTTCTATGTGTCAGAAAGCTGGACAATGACTAGGGATGATAGAGAATTGATGCCTTTGAGCTGTGGTGCTGGAGAAGAGTATTGAATATACCATGGACTGCTAAGAGAATGAACAGGTTCGTCTTGGGGAGGGTTAAATTAGGCTGCTCCTTGGAGGCAAGGATTCTGAAGCTTCATCTGACATGTTGTTGTTGTTGTTATGTGCCGTCGAGTCATTTCCGACTCATAGCTACCCTATGCACAACAGCCCTAAACCCTGCTCTATCCTGCGCCAACCGCACTGCCTCTGACACACCCATCCCGATTACCCCAGTCACTGAATC